CACCTTACACAAACTCTTCTTGTTATTTTCAATTATTAAACTCAGTCCAATTGGAACTTCAATCTCAAACTTGATTTTTATATCACGTCTTCTCCCATTAGTACAGTTTTTACCTGAGATCCTTGGAGTTGAGAGAGGAAGAGGACACGGGAAGCTCTGGGCTTCCTCCCCCTACTCTCCCTTCAAGGCCTAGTCTCTCCTGTATATTGGCAGGATGGAGACAGAGAGAAGTGTTTTTTATTTAACTGGCCTCTGAAGTTCCTCTCCCCATTGACCATCTGCTTCTCAGGATAATATTAATTACCTATAGTCGCCCACGGTGATTGGTGTTCAAATAGCTGACCTTCAAAGAGCCCATATGAGAGTTCCTGTTGGGGCTGCTGGGCCACAGCCCAGCACATTTCCCTGACTCAGGAGATCTAGCTCTTCTACTTCCTCTCCCCACAACTTACACCCTCAGAGGTCTGTGCCATACATTATGGCAACTAACACCTGGATGCCCTCTCAGTGGGAAGCTTTCTTAAGTGATACAAGCACAGCTACCTTTGACTGTGTCCTCTGGGCCCATGGGAGACACACGTATCCTCACTATGACCACATCTCTCTCAACCTCACCATCTCCCAGTCCCGTTTCTCCAGCTCAAATGGGATCAGATGTGATCTGCCCTGGGCAGATCAGCAAGTCATACGACTGGAGACCAAATGCCTATCCCCTCTCCTCCAATTTCTACAAGTAATTATCTTAAAGCACCCCCATACTTGGCTTTGAGGTAGGGAAGGGATCATATATAACTCACTCCTCACCCAGGAGATGGAAAGAAATAATGTCTCAACACAAATACTGTACACCCATGACTCTTTTTCTCCTCACTCCTCCTTCTTCACTCCATCTTTAGTTCTCTTGTATAGACTTGGAGTCGGCGAAGGGTGGCAAGTGGCTGGTGGTAGAGGGACTCTTTATTACTTCCTAATAAGCCTTAAGGAGGTGACTTCCAGGGCCCTCCATGAGTTGGTGGCTGTCTACACAGTGGCAGGTAGTTTCTGCCTGTTGTTTTCAGCTGTGGGCCCTAAGATATCAGGAGAAAGATTACTCAGCAACCTTTAGCAGGCTTCAATAGAAAAATGCACAAGCTTAAAAAAAAAAAAAAAGGCAATATTTTCACCCCAGAATTCAAGGCACAAATCTTCTTGTCAGGGATGAATGAGACTGTGTGTCTTTTTTTCCTATCCAAAGAGTTCATCTCTCTTGTGAGTCAGTCAGGAAGGAAGGACTGTTTCCCCAGCTGAGGAAACCAAACAACTGCTTAGTGACAGGAAACAGACCCTCACGGCTTCAGGACCCTTCTGTGCCTCCTCTGACACCTGAACCCATGGGGGATTCAATTTCCCCTCATTCTCTAGTCTCTAATTAACACCAAAAGTCAGTCACTAATTGATGGACAAATCTGAAGTACATAAAGCACAGACAATTCAGAGAAATCTAAGAGGTAAAGAGAGTTGTTATCAACAGTGTATATGTTATTCCTTCTGTGATTTTCAGAATAGACTCTCAAGGAGAGGTGAATTTTATTTCACAACTTGATATGGAGAATAGAGTGCTAGTGCATCCAAGGGACTCAGTTCTCTCCTTTCACAGCTCTGCATCCCCCATAGTCACCCAATCAGTTGATGACTTTGTAGCCCCTACTGTTAGCTGGGACAACAGAGCTGGTCCCTAGCCCTAGGCTGCTGGAAGTAAAGATACACACTCCAGTAACAATACCCCAGCAGATACAAAACATGCTGACACAGCCTCTGGCCATAAGAGCAACTGAACAAATGTTTTAAACCAACCGATTTCAAAAGTTTAATATCTAGCAGAGGACCTAGAAATGGAAAGAAAAAATGCCAAGTTAGATACACGATGGTTACAAAGGGAAGAAGTGTCACGAACAGGCTGATGGGGGAGGGGCAGAGGGACAGAGGAGGCAGCAAGCCTTGAGTTGGAACTCTGGTGTACGGTCCGGAGGCTCTGCCTCCAAGGATATGGTCAACTGGAAGAAGTTCAAGACCAGAAGAGCAGGTTACCAGTCTTCTACCAGCTTTGCAGTCAGAAGTAGAGTTTTCCCAGTCCTGAGAACAGGAGGCACACCAAGGTTCCTTCTTGGAGAAAAAACTAAAAAAGATATAGACTGAATTCTCTCACTAAGGCCATCGAGATGGCAGATTGATCCTACC